TGTTGATCTGCGCTTTTTTTTGTTACTACGTATTCAATAATACATAAAAATTTTTGCAAATATGTGTTTTCTTTGGCGAATTACTCTATTGTGCCGGCACAACACACACAAATGAATATTTACATAAGAAAAAGTGAAAGCAAATATCGATAAAATTGTGAAGATGGCCTTTGCTGAAGCGCCATGGCTGTGATATCACTTTATGCGGACCTTTGTAATTCACAAATACATAAATTAAGGATTCCTTAGAAAACAACATAAAATATAAATGAAAATAAGCACATTAATAGTATACATGAAAATTATTAGTAAGTGCAATCTGCCGTGTAGAAGGCCATAAATAAATATAAATCTTATAATTTATATAATCAGGGGGCTAACGCCGACGGGGGCACATAGCCGCATCCCTTTGTTTCCACCTTTTGGAATCCCCCATGGCAAGCCACCAGGCAGGGACTCAGGGTTTTCTTGCAGAGACAACAAGGTGTGTAGGATCCTGTGAGAAACGAGCCAGGTGACCATATAGCCTGAGTTGGCGATCACAGATTGTCCAGATAACAGTTCCTGTGCCAGTCTCACAGTGCAACCATTGGTTGGACACATGGTCCCGCCAACAGTACCCCATGATCCGGCACAAAGACCTATTACAAAAAGCATCAAGACGAGACTCCTAGGCATAGGATAATGTTCAGGTTTCACTTCCGTATAGCAAATCTGGTATTATCTGGGTCTTGAAAACCCAACTTCGTCCTTCTGTACAGGTAATGCCATCTCCAAATACTCTTGTTGAGAGAGTTCATGACCCCTGCTGCCAGGCCAATCCGTCTGCTAACGTCCTGGTCTGACTGCCCAGAGTTATGAAGTACACTACCAAGGTATGTAAAGTTCTCTGTGACTTCCATGTCTTCACTGGAATCACGTATCGACTGAAGAGGTTCTCCTAGCAAGTCCCCAAAGTCCTGGATCTTGGTCTTGGTCCAGGAGACCTCTAGATCCAAGGGCTCCACTTCATTACTAAATGCATCGAAAGCCACCGATAAGGTTTCCGAAGACTCAGAATAGTAACATCATCGGCAAGGTCAAGGTCTGTAACCTTGATATTGCCCAGTGTAGCTCTACAATGACTTTAAACAATAGTATCCAGTCCATGCAAGTATTGAAAAGTGTTGGTGCAAGAACACAGCCTTACCTCACTCCTGAACTAACAGGCAAGAAGCTCGACAGGCCCCCACCACACTTTACAGCACTTTCAGTACGACAGCACTCGACAATGACTCGAAGCACAAGGATACAGTCTATTGTGGACTTACCAGGAGTGAATTCAGATTGCTCCGGCCTCTGATGCCTCAGTAGGTGGTCTCTGATACATCTCAGAAGGATGTGAGCAAGAACCTTGCCTGGTATACTGAGCAGTGTGATGCCTTGGTGATTGCTGCAGACCCATCGGTTCCCCTTCCCCTTCCAGAGAGGGATGACCACACCCCTCAACAGGTCAGGGGGGACAGTACCTGACCGCCAGATGGCAGGCAGGACAGCATGCAACCCATATGCAATAGGTTCACCAGACTTTAACAGTTCAACTGGGAAGCAGCAAATACCTGCTGCTTTGCCGCTCTTCATCTTGGATATTGCCCCCTAACCTCAATTAAGGAGGGTGGATCCTCACTGATGGGTGGGTCCGGCAACGGAATCATGGCACTAATTGCATTCAAGTGAACTGTTGGTGAGTCAACCTGGTACAATTGCTCAAAATACTCAGTCCAACACTCTCACACCGCAACAGGATCTGAGACGATCTGGCCACTTACTAAGTGAACTGCTGTCACCTGTGAAGATGGCTTGGAGTTCAGCTTTCTCAGGGTATGTTATGCAGGCCGAAGGTCATTTACTAAGAAATGGCCTTTGACCTCCTCAGCATAACTCTTAATAAACTGTTCCTTGTCCCTTCTTAACAGAGACCGAGTTCTACACACTTGAAAATGGTGCAAGTCCCGATCCCCTGTTAGACGAGCCACACGGCAAGCATCTGAGGCTTCTAGTGTCTCCTGTGAGATAAAACTCTGTATTGTCCTCGGGAGTTCACCAATCGACTCTTGGGCTGCATCAAGCGTTTTGCGCTTGAAGGTGTCCCACAGAAGGACAGGGTCCGACAGATTGTCGAGTGCTGTGAAACAACTCAGCAAACCCCTGAGATGAATCACCCTAAGGTGATCTTTGGACCGCTGGGGAGTTTTGAAGTGGACCTGGAGGGTAGCCACAACCATTTATAGTCAGTACCACAGAAGACGAGCCACACGGCAAGCATCTGAGGCTTCTAGTGTCTCCTGTGAGATAAAACTCTGTATTGTCCTCGGGAGTTCACCAATCGACTCTTGGGCTGTATCAAGCGTTTTGCGCTTGAAGGTGTCCCACAGAAGGACAGGGTCCGACAGATTGTCGAGTGCTGTGAAACAACTCAGCAAACCCCTGAGATGAATCACCCTAAGGTGATCTTTGGACC